TTTACTTAGACTTCAGGAAGGCCTTCGATATGGTATCCCGTCCCATACTGGTGAGCAGGTTAAGAGGCTGTGACTTCGATGATTGCACAGTCCGGTGGGTGGCAAATTGCCTAGAGGGTCGTACCCAGAGAGGGGTAGTGGATGGGTCAGTATTGACCTGGAAGGGCGTGGGCAGTGGGGTCCCACAGGGCTTGGTCCTTGGACCAGTACTCTTCAGTGTCTTCATCAGTGACTTGGACAAGGAAGTGAAGTGTACTCTGTCCAAGTTTGCGGATGATACAAAACTGTGGGGAGAAGTGGACACACCGGAGGGCAGGGAACAACTACAGGTAGACCTGGGCAGGTTGGACAAATGGGCAGAAAACAATAGAATGTGATTTAACAATGAGAAATGCAAAGTGCTGCACCTAGGGAAGAAAAATGTCCAGCACACTGACTGCCTAGGAAATGACCTGTTCAGCAGCATGGAAGCTGAACGGGATCTCTGAGTCCTAGTGGACTCCAAGATTAACATGAGTTGTCAGTGTGACGAAGTCATCAGCAAAGCTAACTGCACTTTAACATGCATCAGCAGATGCATGACAAACAGAACCAAGGAGGTGATACTTCCCCTCTATCCAGCACTGGTCAGACCACAGCTGGAATACTGCATGCAGTTTTGGGCGCCACACTTCAAGAGGGATGTGGATAACCTGGAGAGGGTCCAGAGAAGGGCCACTCATATGGTTAAGGGCTTGCAGGCCAAGCCCTATGACGAGAGACTAAGGGACCTGGACCTCTTCAGCCTCCACAAGAGAAGGTTGAGAGGCGACCTTGTGGCTGCCTATAAATTCATCATGGGGGCGCAGAAGGGAATTAGTGAGGCTGTACTCACCAAGGTGCCCCTAGGGGTCACAAGAAATAATGGCCATAAGCTAGCAGAAAGCAGATTTAGACTGGACATTAGGAGGAACTTCTTCACAGTAAGAGTGGCCAAGGTCTGGAATGGGCTCCCAAGGCAGGTGGTGGTCTCCCCTACACTGGGGGTCTTCAAGAGGAGGTTGGATGGGCATGTGGCTGGGGTCATCTGAACCCAGCACTGTTTCCTGCCAATGCAGGGGGTCGGACGCTGTGATCTATTGAGGTTCCTTCCAACCCTAACATCTATGAATCTAAGTATGAGTGAGGGCTTTGGTTGCTTAAAGTTTGGCTCCTGGATACATACACAAGTGCTCAGAGAAAATTCATAAAATGGTTTAGATCAGGGGTCAGGAACATACAGCTCATAAGCTGGGAACCATTGGATCTGGCCTATGCATCCGGAAAGCTTTTCTTCTGCCCACGTCCATGTTGGGGTGGTGCAGTTAAAGTTGTGGCCGCACTGATGCTGCTTCTCCCTATTCCCCGTCTATAGCACGAGTGCAGTTTCTAGTCAGCAAGAAACTGAGCCAGGCCTGGGCAGTTTCTAATTTCACCTGCTCTGCAACCTGGAGGCAGGGGACATGGAAGAAATGTGGCAGCAGTACAGATGCTGCTTCCAGCTGTGTATCCCTGGCTACGTTCCCCACTAGCTAGAAGCTGGATCCACACTGCAGCCAAGGAGCAAAGGGGTGGGGAGAAGTGTCAGTAGCAGGGGCACAGTTCCCAGCTGCCTGGGCCTGGTGCAGCTCCCCTTGGACTGCAAACTCTGCTTGTGCTGTAGCCAGGGAATGAGGGGCTGGGGGAATTAGCATCTCCCCCTGCATGCTGCTTATGTAGTGCCAAAGCTACTCAGCCCACACTGGACTAGAGCTGACTTGTTCCAATCTGCAACTTGAAAAGATTGCCAGCTCCTGACTTAGCTGTGTCAGTGATGAACCATCCTACACTTTAAAGTTAGGCATCTGGCTCCAGAAGTTAAATTCACAAACCAGAGTTAGGTGTCTGATTGAATTTGCAAGAACCAGCATGTGGAGCAGGGGAATGCCTAGGCCAGGCAACCAAAACTAAAGATGTAAGTTTGGGAAAGAGGCAAAACTGGAGACACCTGACATGTCTCCTTGTGGCCCTGAATTAGATGCTGAAGTGGAACTGGGACTCTCAGCCTGAAGTCTTTGCCAGACTTAGTTGTTTGAAGCTTCCTTTCATATGTGGGCAACTGACTCACTCTTTAAAAAATACTACAAAATTTTACTTTGGCCCTCTAAGTCTTGCTTTCCTTTCCATACAGCCACCCAGCTTCAACCAGAAGCATAGACAGTACTGCTTGAGAGAAACAGATCTCAGTTTTTATCCCAGGATGTTTTCAAGTTTTTTAAAAGACTGCGTTTTGTAAAAAACTTTGGATTAATATTAAAGCCATAAGTTATAGAGGAAATTCTTTTTATGTGACATATTTAGTTGCTAGTACTAAAAGTGGCCAACTTTTCTTCTCAGTTGCTGTAGATTCATCCTTATAAATTTTTGTAACTGTCTTAATACTATTTTCCTTTGGATGACTTACTTTACATCTACTATTAAAGTATCATTCTTGGCTCTATGGGTACAGTTTTCGTGTTGACAAGCAAAAATGCTTATAAGGTATATAACAGCTGTTAAAAGCATTTTTGTTTCAGACATGCAGAAGCAGCTATTGATATTAATAGTTATAAATTCATATCACATTCTTTTTCGTACACTTCCAAGTATCAGAAGATTCCTATTGAAGGAAGACATTCTGAAAAGTTTCATAGCAAGGCCAGAGGGGTCCTTGGCTGTAATTTATTAATATAGAATTTAGAATCTATGGTATCTTTTCCCATATAACAGTTCTCATTTTAAATAAAAGCATATTTTTATGATAAAAAACATTTTAAAAGCTGTTAAAAGAGGTTGAAGGCACACTAGAGCTGTACTTTATAAACTAACCTAAGTAGATATTATATATATAATATCTCATGGGCTGAGGCTTACTTTATCAGATGCTGTGAAAGGACATGTGCAAAGCTATGTATAACAAGGAGAGAGAAATTAGAATGCAAAAGCAGAAGGGAGGGACAGAAAGGGAGGAGGGGAGATGGCAGGAGGAGAGATGGGGGCAGTGCTGGGAGAGGCGAACATTCAGGCAGTAAACCCATGAAACAAAGGAGCTACAAAAATGGAGGTAATGGGACAAGAATCCACAGTCCCTGTTTAAACCACATATAACACAATCCAGTCTGTAGATAATTTCTTGCTCTGCCATTTCCCATTCAAATCAATTTTTAAGGGTTTGCTTCTTGAGTACAGCCACCCTCGGGTCAGTGATGGAATGTCCAGGGAGGTTAAAATGTTCTGCCATAGGCCTGTCTTTCTGCAGCACATGTCAGATCAGCGTTCATTCAATCTTTCATGTAGGGCAGTGGTCACCAACCAGTGGGTCTTGATTCACCAGTAGATCTCAGAGCCTCTTGGAGTCTATCCAAGGCTGGGGTGGGGGGCTGAGTACCTGTGTGTATGCATGCATGAGCCTCAGCCCAGCAGGTCAGTCTGTGGGGGAGGAAAGAGGCAGTAGCTAGATTGAGCCCCCTGTAGTGAGGTAGAGGTGCAGGGGTAAGTTGTGGGGCCCTGGCCGGGTGGGACTTATCTGCTGAGGAAGTGTGCCCCCAAATATTTTTTCTCCCTTTGCCTCTATCAGGCCCTCTCCCTCCTTCCCTCACCACAGACTTACCTCCTGAGTGTATGTGTGGGGGGTGGGTGGCAGCATTGCACGATAGATCTTGGGTTGCTTTTAAATGCAAAGGTAATCGCCTGCTTAAAAAGGTTTGAGACCACTGATGTAGGGATTGCCCTGTCTGTCCAGTGTAGACCAGAGGAGCACTATGAGCAGGTCATGGCATATATAACATTAGTAGAGTTGCAAGTGAAAGAACCTTGGATATTATAATCCATCTTATTTGTA